TCCCAAACTTAGAAGTACAGTTTCTGAAAAATACTTTTTTTCTTAACCAGAACTAATAATGAAAAAGTTCAGCATGTAATGAACAAGCCTCTTAACTAGTCCTTCTTCTGTTTGTTCTCCCCTTCCCTCTGTTGCTGTTATAAGTCAGGTCTGTGCAGTGTTATGCTTGAGATATGGTTTTATTTGAGTGTAATTATTGATTTTACATATATCAAGCATTTCACTTACCTTAAAAATACAGTGTTTACAGCAACAAGCAAGAATAGTTTTGATCTGATTCTTAGAACGTAATTTTAAACAATGGTGGGATCAAGATGGGGAATAAAAAAGTCATAACAATAATAAAAGGTCTATAACAGTAGACCTTTTCTTATATAAGAACTACTAGGAGTAATGGGTGATTCCCAGTATAAAAAGCTGGGAAATTTTTTTAGAATTATTTTCTAAAGCATATGTTACACAAAATTTGGTCATCTGAAACCACTGGAAGCATAATTTTTCTAAGAGTCAATAATATATTCTGCCAACAGTCAACTTAGCCATTGAGGCAAAGACAAAAATCTCTGATATCTATATCTTTGTCTGTATCTATATTTGTATGAATATCTTTATCTTTCTGTGGAACACCTCAATAGACTATGTAAAAAGATCCTTCCATTTGTTTTATTAATCTTTGTTAGGCTGGAAGTTTTAGTCTTTTTCCTTTTATGTAAATCAGTAAAAGCAATTCCTGTAAGTCCAAGGACACAGAAAACACTTATTCCAAGCTAGTCTTCCCACTGTATTTGTTTACAGCCCTGTGTCTGTCAGAGAGTAAATAGTCATCTATTATTTTCCTTTTTATACTTTTTATTCATTTAAAATTTGTTATGCACCATAGCATAGGTTAAGTTCTCTTAAAATATTTTGGTTTTATAAAAAGTGATGTGGTCTAATAGAAAATATATAGAATTTAAAGGAAGAAGAATTGTGTTGCCTCCTTGAGCAGCTCATCTACGTGAACTGGGCAAATTGTTTTAATGCCTTACTTTCTTTGATGGTAAATTTGAAACTAATGATGATTCCCTTCTGCATTTAATTCATGAGGTTTTTTCACATGTACCAAATGATATGTTTGTAATAGTACTTGGTAAACTGTAAACAACTCTTCACGATTGATGGTAGGATTATGAGCATATTAGAATCTTTTTACAGCCTTTATTAATGCAGGAATACTGAAAAGAGCAAGATATTTCATTTACTAAAATGTTTTCATCTTAGTGAGGTGGTATAGAGTGGTATTCATTGTCTGTATGTAATATAAATAGATGTAACGGTGTAATGGTCCTTGGTTACTGACATTTACTAGTTTTTACATAGTGCTTTTTTAAAAAGAAGTAAATTAAATGATCTTACATTCTTTTTTGGAAAAATACCTTAAGGTCATGTTCTATTTTTTCAAAAGTATTTTAAAAACTAATAGTAACCAAAACAGAAGGC